ACTGTTACCATAACCCCAGCAACCTATCACAGAAAAAGCAGATTAAGGAAGTTATATTTCTACTCCAGTTTTAAATGATCAGATAATATCTGCTCACCCATTAGTAACAGTTTCAGATTTTATGCATCTAGTATCAGGTCTGTATTACTTCTGTTCATGAAAGATTTTAATACATTTTAATAGAAATTATTTAATTTTTCTGCTGTTTTTCTTTAATTACACAATAGATAAATCTTTATCTGGCTACTATATTGGTAATGGCTTTTGAGATTATAATTGTTTAGTGGTTACTCTAATTTGAGGACAAGTGGGATAGCCATTGATATAATTTTTAATAGTTCAGGAAGTTCTCATAGTTTGCAGAGCTGTACTTATACATTCTATCACACATAATGACTATCACAAGACGAGGATATTCTCACCCTGTAGTGTTATGACTTTGACATATGAGAAACTTGAGCTCATAGGGATGGCCGAGAAGCCCCAGGTAACAATAAGAAGGGGGCATTATATCTATTTTACTTTTTTTTTTTTTCATTTTGTTTGTTTGTTTTGAAATGGACTCTCACTCTGCTACCCAAGCTGGAGTACAGTGGTGTGATCTCAGCTCACAGCAACTTCGGCCTACTTAGTTCAAGCGATTCTCCTGCCTCAGCCTCTCCAGTAGCTGGGATTATAGGCATGCACCCTCACACCTGGCTTTTCGTAGAGGCAGGGTTACACCATGTTGGCCCGGCTGCTCTCGAACTCCTGACCTCAGGCATCCAAAAGTGCTGAGATTATAGGTGTGTGCAACCATGCTCAGCCTATCTTAAATTCATTTTACAGCTACTGCTCCTCCCTCCATACCATGCTGCTACTTATTTAACTGTCAAACTTGAAAAAGCAGAAGAAACCAAAGAATCTACAGTCTGGTGATCTGTCTCAAATTAGGGAATTGTGAGACACTGAAAACTCCAGATGAGTGTGCTTTCAGGAGTGTGAGAGGAGCCCCCAGCATGATCTTCAAGTCACCCTCATTTGGTCTGTTGACTTCTGAGACCATTTGGAAGAGATAGAACAATCTCATTGACCCAGAAAACAAAGCATGTTTATTGCTGCCATAGACATGCACTGAGACTATTCCTAGACACTTTGACAGTTGTAATTGTTCTGATCTAACCAAGAAAACATGATAAAACTTTTGTTGCAAGAACGATATAATGGGAGAAATGTAAAAATGTCATTTACTCATATTAACCTGAATCATACTTTAAACTTTGTAATAGAATTTTTCAAAGGAAAGTAACTTCTAGCTTAGTAGAATATCTCTCTATCCCTCTTTCTCTGTGAATTAGGTTTATGGGATTATACACTTGAAATAGCCGTCTAGCATGTATTCTGTGATCACCAAGCACATTTGAGACTGCAAGTTTTTCTTATCATGAATGTCTTGACATTTAATTAAACATTATGTTTTCTTACATTGGCAAAGTGTTGGTAAATATTCATATATCTGTGAATGCAGCAAATATTCAGGATGGAGCCCATAAGAATGTCTGCTGTGCCAATAGAGCTCCCTATCTTCAGGGCAGCTAAATTTCATAGTGAAATTTCAAGTAACTGTGGTCCTCCTGAGGGAAACAGAAAATTGAGCATGCTCAACCTAGAATTTAAAAATATGTATGCTTGAGGTGGGACATTCACAGACTTTTGGAATCAGAGGGATCTGTTTTGAAACTCATGACTTGTATTTAAGAAGTGTCATGAAACACAAGTATGAATAACAAGAGGATCTAAGGGATTTTGTAGGCCTGCCTTGATACTTTGAGACTACTGATACAGAGGAAAAAAGAGTCTCCCCACTTACCGAAAGGATCCTCTGATATGGTTTGGCTAGTTGTTGTCTCTTAAATGTCATGTTGAATTGTAATCCCCAATGTTGGCAGTGGAGCCTGGTGGAGGTGTTTGGGTCATGGGGGTGGATTTCTCTCGGCTTGGTGCTGTCCTCTTGATGGAGAGTGTGTACTCCCAAGATCTGGGTGTTGTAAATTGTGGTACTCCCCTTGCCGCTACTCTCTCTCTCTTGCTCCTGCCTGTCTGCTGTCACTTTGCTTTCTGCTACAAGTAAAGGCTCCCTGAGTCCTCCCCAGAAGCCAAGCAGATGCCAGCACCATGCTCATATAGCCTGCAGGACCATGAGCCAATTAAACCTCTCCCTTTATAAACCATTCAGTTTCAGGTATTTCTTTAAAACAATACAAGAATGCCCTGATACATTCCCTATTCCCCAAATACCAGCTCAATGACACAAAGATCGATTCTTCACTCTTCAGAGGTCCCTTCAAGTTTATCTCAATGAAGAAAAAGGAGATATCAGGGAATATATCAATTATTCCTATCCTCAATCATTTGTTCATTCTTGCACATGTATTTCCTTTTTTCACAAAATGAAGAGGAAACTAGTTAGAGTTTTAATATCTAGTCTAACATTCTAGAACTTGTAATCTGTATGTATGTCCATGGCACACAAAAGAAAAATTAATTAATTACCCTGAGACCTGGCCAAAATATGAATACCTTAAAATGCATTACTTTTGCTCTTAGAGTAGGCCCAAAAAGTGATGTATTAAAACTGGTGAGTTCTCTGTCCCTGAAGATGTTTAAAAATGGTTAATAATGGTATCACAGGACTAGTGTAGAATTGTTTGATGCAGCAAATAGACATTTGCAGTTTAAAATTCCTTGAAATCCCAAGAGTTTTGATTTCTAATATGGATATTGTAGAGGTCGAAAGAAAGATGAAAGGATTTTTAAAAATCAAATTGATCTAGATAATTTATAGCAAAGTTACTCCATGATTAAATTATTCAAAAATATCTATAAACTCATAAAGCCTATACTTGCATCAAACTCTCATTCAGCATATATAATTGCGATTTCTTATGAACCTGAGATGTCAGATAATATTATCAGATAGTTTTTGGTCAGGCTCTTAAAATGTTAAAATGTGATTTTCACACAGGTCTTTTAAATATATATTAAGATAGTTCAGGACACATTTCTCCAAACATATACCATTAGCTGTCAATTTATTCTTAAATATTTTATAGATGTATGTTTTTTGTTCCAGGGTTTACTAATTCTCATATGTAATGAACTCTCAGAAGTTAAATTTCATTATTTTGTGTCAATATTCAAAAAACTATTTCGAAATCTTAGTACAAATAACAGACTGATTCCTTGATCTGAACAGACATATTCTATAAGGCCTGCATGAATCAAAGCAAATTTCACGATTTCTACGCAATAGTTTTCAAAAAGTAGACATTATTTGTTTTCTATAAGTATGCAAATAAGTAAAAGGCAGTATATGTGTTTATATTTTCTATAAGTTCATTTACATGCCTGTATTTTCTTTAAATAGATAATATGTTAAAATAGATAAACGTGATAATCGATAATTATATAGTAGTAATATGATAATACATAAATAATATGGATATGGCTATACAAACAACTTAATGGAAAGATAGAGATTAGTTAATGACTAACCACTCCCATACCTCACAAGCTGGAATGTGGACATATTTGAGGGTTTCACATCAATATACAATCTTCCATAAAAAGCTACAGAATAAACAGAATATATCCTCTTTGTTTTGTTGTTTTGTTTTGTTTTGAGATGGAGTCTCACTCTGTCACCCAGGCTGGTTGGAGTGCAGTGGCACGATCTCTGCTCACTCCCAGGTTCAAGCGATTCTCCTGCTTTAGCCTCCTGAGTAGCAGAGATTACAGGTGCACACCACCTCACCCAACTAATTTTTGTATTTTAATAGAAGTGGGGTTTCCCTATGTTAACCAGGCTGGTCTTAAACTCTTGATCTCAAGTGATCCACCCGCCTTGGCCTCCCAAAGTGTTGGGATTACAGGCATGAGCCGCCATACCTGGCCTAGAATACATCTTAGGGCATCAGCTTTACTCGAAGACTTACAGAGAACATTTTCTTTATGATAAACCAAATTTAAATATTAGTAACACAGAATATGTGGAAAAAATATGTTAAAAATAACCTGTAGGTTTCAAAATTGTATTTGTATCATAAGAGCTTCCTGATATGCTCCTAAATATCTCAGGGTGTATTCCTTCCCTTTCTTCTGACTGTAAGGTTACCGCTTTGGAAAACTAGAGGAAAGCTCTTCTGTAACTCCTTTTTGTAAAGGCTTTGCTGCTTTAGCTCTTGACAATTCTCAAACATACTTCTCTCTGTAACTAAATGTTGTTAAAGATGTGAACCAGATCTCAAGTCATCCTTCATTTAACTGTAACAATCCTTTTCAGAAAGAAGAGGTTAGGTTAGGAAATTACTCCGTGGATCTGCATAATGAATGTAGTCGCTTTGGACCCTCTGGATGTGAGTGCTCTGGGGACGTGTTAAGAAACCTATGAATATGTGTGCTGTTTAATAACAATTACAGCTCCAGATGTATTTTCATGCCCATTGCTAAGGAAATAACTGATTTCCTCCTTTACATTATCTTAAAATAGAGTTTTTAGCAACCAGAAAGATGGAAGTATCTTTGTTATAACCTATTCATCTGGAGAGCTTTTCTTCTACAGGTAGAGAGATAGATAGATACACACAGATATATGTCTATCTATCTATCAAGCCAGCTATCTAGCTAGCTATCTGTCTATCTATCTATTGATTGATTGAGAGAGAAGAGGGCTCCAGCTAGGAGGCAGCATTTTGAAGTAAGTATCATTTCATTTCACAGATGGGAAAAGTGAGGTTCAGAAACACTGAGTCCCAGTTTCACGGTTTGACTCGCAGTGGGATTCCCAATCCAGATTTGTCCTAGATGTTGCTGCCCTCCAAGGGCCTTGTGGATCAGCTGATCTGGGTGTAGGTTAATGATCAGATTCTCACTCCTGAACAGGTTTCTTAACAGCCAGAAGGTTCAAGAACAATGGATGCTTGAGGGAAGGGAAGGCAAGTGTTCTTTTGTGTATTTATTTCTTAAATATAAAATGCTTCATGAATCTGCATATCATCCTTGCCCAGGAGCCATGCTAATCTTCCCTGCATCTTTACAATGTTAGTATCTGTCTTGCAAAATGACCACAAAAGCAAGGGTTCTTAAGAGTAGACACATACATGCTGTATATATATATGTATGCTGAGATTTGAATGTGTCCCCTCCAAAATTTCAATGTTGCCCATATGATAGTAGTAAGAGGTGGGGCCTTTACGAAGCAATTAGGCCATGAAAACACCTCCTCTGTTAATGGGATCAAGCCCCTTACAAAATATGCCTCACACAGCAGCATTTAGCCGGCTTGTTCTTCTGCTTCTGCTAAGTGAGGACGCAGTAAGAAGGTCCTTGCTAACCAAACTCTCGGATCTTCATCTTGAATTTCCCAGCTTCCAGAACTGTGAGAAATAAATTTCCATTCTTTAGAAATTACCACATCTCAGATATTTCACTGAAGCATTTCAAATGAACAAAGACACACACATATATACACAATTTTTAAATTTGCCAAGAATTAATACTAAGTAATATCGGTAATAGTAATTCAAAAAACATGAGAATAACTAGGGTGACTTTGGGATGCAATAGAAAGGACATGTTAGAAAGATGCCTGACATGGTCACCTGTCCTTCTTTTCACCTTGTATAGATGTCTCCCTTCTCCAACAATATTTCTTAAAATGAACTTTTTAATAATGATAATGCCCTCCCTAATTGATAGCAGTGGTGACAAAAACTGTAACTCATAACCAAGCATATCCACTTCTTTTTGCCTTTATTTTCAATGACTCTGAGGCACCTGGGTTAAATATTTTCCCTTCCAGGCCACAGGTCTATCTAGGTGTGGCACATAAAAGAAGGCAGAGGCTCATTCTAAATCCCCCATCACTTCAGAAGGGAGGCTTAGTATTTGCAGTGAGAACCTCAAGACTGTAGGCAGATGACCTGAGACTGAGAGGTTAGTGCTGGACAGTGGGTTCCCTGTTGCTTCCCAAGTTCCACCTGCGTCCTCTGTGGCACATTGAAGCTGAGAAGAGGAATCACTGCATAATTTTAAAGTTCATTATCATTTCATCTAGCATGAAGCATTACCCCTGCTCATCAATATATTTCTACCTTAATTCACGTTAGCACAATATGACAACCGTTTTTTCCACTTCCTCTTTACATTGGGACATCATCTTACTCTTCTCTTCCCCAAAAGATAAGAGAAACCCAAAGGCAGTACTTAAGGCCTTGAAGAAGCTTCATCCATGCTGAATGCCTGCCCACTGGGACAGCAGACACCGCCCACCTAAATGATTGCTCCTTACTCCAGCCCTTAAACAGATTAATAGAAATGTCACGTAGCTTCATCTTTGTCACTGTGGCAGGCTAGAGACTAAAATTCAACAGAATATTGTTACACATCAAAAAATACTGTTTTCCTCATTTACCTGGAACTGCTCTGTCACCTCATCTAGTAACATTAAGTCTGAACTTGTCTTTCTCAAAGTATCTCTCTGATGGCAAGCCTTTGCCACTGATACTCTCTGCCCTTCTTTCTATATATTTGACGTTAAAATGTCATGTAGGTTCACAGAAATCAGTAGCTAGAGGGTAAAAAATCATTTTTTAAAAACCATGATATTTCAAAACATTTTGTAAAATTAAAAACACAAAACAAACGTATACATTAACTCTGAAAGTATAAATGTATCTGAACTTTTTGGTCTACGACTAGCCTTTATCCAGACCAACAGGAGATTGTCCTTTTACTTACTCTAACTTCTCAAGGAAAAAGAAGACTATCCTATGACCTTATAAGCTTCCTACAGGCTTTCTACAGTAGACACTGTCTGATTCTATCAAGGTTTAATTACATTAAGGCTGCCTTTTTCTATTTACCAGGCTTCACTGTTAGGAAAAGTAAAACAGAAAAATATAAATAATCACCTTGAGATTTAAAAATATGAAATTGAAATATGAATCTTTCATGGGAAATGCCTGTATTTTAGAGACTCATAAATTAAAATTATTTAAGCATAAATTGGTTTTCTTTGTTTAAGAATTATGTTATAAAGTACTTATGGATGAGGGAATGAGTCAGAGGCCAACACGAAGAGCTGAGGCAACATCGGCGAGGCTGGAGAAGGGCTGGCCTCCAGGGCCGGCCTCCAGGGCCCTCTGTGCTGCTTGATTCCCGCCTTTCCTGCCCATCACAGAGGAAAGCTCTCTTGGCACAAAGTTGCTTCTTACATAAAATATAAAATGGTGCGACAGGTTTATTTTGGTCCAAGAAGTTTCAAAGCAAAAGTAGAGTTCAGGATTCATGATGGCTCATAAAATTTAAATTATTTCAGATGTATCTAAAGAGATTCACTGGAATTTTAATTTTTTTAGCTAAGTAAATCTCATTTATTCCACAAACATTATTAAGGAGAAATTGTGGATTCTGGTATTCAGAAAAGCAATTCAGCTTAATGTTATCTTCTGCTGAAATTAAAAATACAAAAACGTCTTCCTAAAAGAAAAGTGTTTGGAATCCTTGTGAAAGTAAACAATATGCAAAGCCTTGTCTATATTTCAGAAGCAAAAAAAAAAAAAGGTTTATTTCCTTTTTTGTTCATTTACTTTCCTCAAATGGAAATATCTGGGCATGTCTCATTACAAAAGTCTAACAGGCATATTAATGACCTGTCTCTGCAAATACCAAGAGAGTCTTTTTTTTTGTCTTTCCATTAACCCCAATATTTTTAGCATTAACTGTTCTTACAAATATTCCTACAGTTCCCTGCCCATTGCAGAAGCCAAAGATTATAAATACTTAGTGAATGTTCAGATGTGATGAAAGTCAAAGTTTGTTCTTATGACAGAAATGAAAAGTGGGGTTTTTAACTTGATGGTATTCGAACTGTTGAGCATACTATGAAATTGAGACCAAGGTTTGGGAAAGATAATGATGGATTTACCTATCCCAAAATCTTTAACTCTCCCCCAATCCCTGAAATAAATGAAACAACAGCATAAGCAGTGTAAACCTAGTGAATAATTAAAGGAACAATCGAAACTATGAAGAACATCTATAACAATATTGACGAAGTATCCTCACAAGCCTGAAATATTTGGAAGCCTGAACCACACACTACAACAATCGCTGGTGATGTCAGCAGTGACTCTAGGAGGAAGTGGAGCAGGGAAATCAAAATTATTCTGATAGCCTGATATTAGGAGAAATTCCATTGCCGACTGGTTCTCATTTACAGCTGAGTAATTCTAACTTAGAGTGGAATGCTTCGTGGGCCAAACATGAAACAGTAGCTCAAGGTGGGTGTTCCAGCTTCCAGTTCATGGCTAAGCCTGGATAGTATAAAATTTGTTATCATTTTAAGTATGCATGGGATATTGATAAAATTATCTGTATCATTTCATAAAAATACCTCAATTATTTTCAAATAAAAATGATGCAAACAACGTAATTTGAACATGGGTACAATAAATAAGACTGAAATAGTACAAATAGAAAACAAAATGCCTTCTTCAACAATCTCACATTAATTAAAATACAAAGACCAGGTGCAGGTAGCTCATGTCTGTAAACCCAACACTATATGGGAGGCCTAGGCAGGCAGATCACCTGAAGTCAGGAGTTCAAGACCAGCCTGGGCAACACGGCAAAACACTGTCTACACTAAAAATACAAAACATAAAAAATAAAAAATAAGCAGACATAGTGGTGTATGCATGTATTCCCAGCTACTCAGGAAGCTGAAGCATGAGAAGTGCTTGAACTTGGGGGGGTCAAGGTTGCAGTGAGCCGAGATCGTGCCATGCACCCCAGCCTGGGTGACGGACTCTGTCTCAAAGAAAATAAATAAATAAATAAATAACAAAATGACGTTTCTTAAAAATAATAATTATTATCATACAATGTTGCAGACTGGGCAGCTCAGCTAAAAGAGTTCAAAAAAAAAAAAAAAAGCCATGAGGTCCCCCTCCTTGTGAATGGAATTGAGGTCTTTATGAAAGATGCTTCAGGAAGCAGCATTCCCCACTTTTCCTTTCCACCTCTTGCCATGAGAGGACACAGTGTCCCTGCCCACTCAAGGATGAAGCCCTCACCACACAGCCAGACTCGCTGCCATGTTGATCTTAAGACTCCTCAGCCTTCTGAACTGTGAAAAAATTAATTTCTGATTCTTTATAATTTGCCCAGTATCATGTATTTTGTTACGGTACCACAAAACAGACTTAGACAACACATCAGAAGGAAAAATTAAAAATGTACATCCTATCCATCTTTTCAATATAATTCTTCCAATTTTTTTCTTTAGGATGTTTGATATTATTATTCTGACATTGTTTTCTGTATTGTGAGATAAAGTAAATTGGTATGCTGATATTAGAAACTAGAATTTTCCAGTGTAGAATGAAGGAGATGTAAATAGGAAGCCAAAGAGTTAAGTAATGTGTCGACAATTTTTTTAATTTTGTGTCAACTTTTATTTTAGGTTCAAGGGTACATATCCAGGTCATTTGTGTTTTCTAAGGGTTTTGTCTTCATATGATTTTCTCAAGCAGGTAATGAGCATAGCACGTGGTAGGTAGTTTTTTGATCCTCACCTCCCTCTCACCCTCCACTCTCAATTAGGCCTTGGTGTTTATTGTTTCCTTCTTTGTGTCCATGGGTACTCGATGTTTAGCTTCCACTTACAGGTGAGAACATATAGTATTGGTTTCCTGTTCCTGCGTTAATTCACTGAGGATAATGGTCTCCAGCTCAATCCATGTTGCTGCAAAGGACAGAATCCCACTCTTTTTTATAGCTGCATACTATTCCATGTGCCACATTTTCTTTATCCAGTGCCCAAGGCTGTGGGAGCCCACCCTTTGCATAAGCATGCCCTGGATGTGAGATATGGAGTCAAAGGAGATCATTTCAGAGCTTTAAGAAAAAATGATTGCCCCACTGGATTCTGAGCTTGCATGAAGCCTGTAGCCCCTTTGTTTTGGCCAATTTCTCCCATTTGGAGTGGGAGCATTTACACAATACCTGTACCCCCATTGTATCTAGGAAGTAACTAACTTGCTTTTGATTTTACAGACTCA